GCTTCAGTGCTCACATAAATAGCATTACCAGTACGGCATTTTATCATCTACGGAACATAACCAAAGCTTCGGAAGTTGCTGTCCTTTCAAGATGCAGAAAAACTAATACATGCCTTTATAACTTCTAGATTGGACTACTGCAATGCCCTCCTTTCGGGTTGTCCATCTGGATCCCTACATAAACTTCAGTTAGTACAAAATGCAGCTGCCAGAGTTCTAACAAAAACTAAAAAATTTGATCACATTAGCCCTATCCTGTCTTAAGAACATAAGAACATAAGAACATAAGAACTATACAAACGAGAGGAGGCCATTCGGCCCATCGAGCTCACTTGGGGAGAACTTAACTAATAGCTCAGAGTTGTTAAAATCTTATCTAGCTCTGATTTAAAGGAACCCAAGGATTCAGCTTGCACTACATTATCAGGAAGACTATTCCATACTCTGACTACACGCTGTGTAAAGAAGTGCTTCCTTAAATCCAGTTTGAAATGTTCTCCCGCTAATTTCCACCTATGGCCAAGAGTTCTTGTATTTGAACTAATGTTGAAGTAACTATTCGGTTGAACAGCATCCAAACCTGTTAGAATCTTATAGACCTGGATCATGTCCCCCCTCAGTCTCCTTTGCTTGAGGCTAGGATATGAACCCTGGATTCCTTTGACGGACCTCTTTCCGATCACGATGGCTTCATCAGCATCTCCCACGAACTAAATGTGCTTTCTCTTTCCCCGTGTGGTACTGACCATCTCTATGGCCTAATATTTTATGTTTTTCCTCTTTTCTACCCAAGGTTTTGACCCAGTGTTTCTCAGTCACAGTGTTCTGCATAAGATGGATGGCTTTGGCGACCTGGACATTCTCAGCCCTTATAAAGATCCTGATGCTTCAGGTACTTGCATCTGATTATTTGATTTTAAATACCTCCAGTCCATTTAAAGCTCAAAAAATTGTTTATTGCAGCTGCTGTTGTCTTGCCAAAAAATGACGGCAGGCATAGAACCTTTCTGTGTGGAGTTCCCATGCTCTCCCCATTTCCTCCCACAGTCCAAAAGTGTGTGTGATAGGTTAATTGGCAAATCTAAGTTGGCTCCGTAAGTGTGCAGGTGCCTGTGTGTGCCCTGTGGTGTGTTGGCGACTGCCCAGTGGTGGTTCCCACGACAGGCTCCCTGACCCCGGTTGGGATTAAGTGATTATGGTGGATGGAAGTCTCACTTTAAGTAAAGAGTTGAGGTCATGTGGTCTTGTATCATTGCTATACTGTTGGCTCTCTTGAGAACCTGTGTTAAGTAAGCCCATTCTTCTGTTCTCTACCACGCTGCTTGTTCTCAGAGGTAACCTTAACGACCTGGTGGTTTACCTCTTGTGGAGCCAGTGGACCCCGAGGCCCCACCCAGGCACAGTGTGATAGCGCTTACCGGAACACCAACGTCAGCGTTATCGTGGGCACCGAGGGCCCACTCAAGGGGGTGCAGATGTGGAGGGTGCCCTCTACCAACCGCTACCTGTAAGTATATAAGTCTGGGAAAATATGATGAAACTGTTGTTCTGTAGGAGATTTATCTCCCAGCAACCAGTTTAGTGTAAAGAGTCACATTCACTGGTTGGTTGAAACAAAATCCTGGCCTGGATTTTTACTTTCTGGGCTTCAGTATCCACCTCTGGTTTTCTTGTATTTTTTACTAACTTGCTGTCACAGTAAACCACAGTAACTCTCTGTGGCACCTGAAAGATGCCCATGAGCTCAATGGGACAAGAGAAAGTCAAATCCAGCTTGTAAAGGCTCATCTTTGATTTTAGATGCTTGTTTCCCTGTGCATTTTAGGAAATATAAAAATGTGACCTGATACCTTTAAAGGGCAATCAAAGTGATTATGGTATGTTTTATGTGATTGCCATAAATGCTATTTGGTTTCTGTTCAAGGTTTGATAGATTTATTTGAATATATTTCATGCAGATTTTTAGTTTTGCATTATTTCTAGTTAGTTATTTCTGCATGGGGACCTGTATGATGTAAGACTAAAGCTGCTGTGTTGTGTTATTCTTAGGGAACCTATTGTGTTGTGCTCTGTCCTGTATCATTTTTGAGTTTTGTTTTTCCTTTGTTCTTCATCGTTGCACAAACCTAAGGATCTCGGCTTATGGGGCAGCGGGAGGAAAGGGGGCCAGGAACCACAACAGTCGATCCCACGGCGTTTTCATCTCAGCTGCTTTCACCCTAAATATGGGGGACATCCTGTACGTTCTGGTGGGGCAACAGGGAGAAGATGCCTGTCCTGGGGTAGGTACCAGACTAGAATGAGAAGGGATCCATGCCATTCTCTTAAAGCATATTGACCAAATAGCACAATACTAACACTGTTACTACTGCTTGTATAAATATATATCTTTCCATCCATACATACATATATTAGTAGGGTGACCAGATAATCCATATCAGGGTGGATACTTTGAGTTACTTCAGGTTTTCCAAACTACTTTAAAACTGAAAGGCTCCTGTCCTTGGCTATATAGTTCAGTTCTTCTTGTGCTTTGACTGGTTTGTTCCTTTTATTGAAAGACTGAATCAGTTGTTTTACATTACATTCATGACACATGCATGATTTTAGGAGACTGACCCATCTGCACACAACAAGAATTCAGTGCTTAAGTGAAATCCTGGTCCCTTTAATTGAAATGGTAGTTTACAAACATTGTACTAGCTCAAAGTGTCCTCCCTGACATGGATTATCCAACCCCCATAGCTATTAGTTATTTGCAAACTCTGACATATTGACTTCGTATATATCCATCTTTGCTTCCAGTTCTTCTTTCTTGTGTTCCCTGCCCGTGTTGTTCTCATTTTTCCATTCATGTCTTTGGGTGCTTATCAATATGTGTACTTCACTGTTCTTGTGTTCTCGCGTACCCATTTAATGGCATATTCCATTGCTGAAGTACAGTTCCAATACTAAGTACAGAAGTACAGAGGACAGTAAAAATCCATGTCTGTTGTCCTTGCCCTGCCCCAAATATGAAGGATGCTTCAGTTGCATCCTCCTTAACAAGAACAGTCCCATGATTCATTGTATCCCAGGTTCGTTCTTGGGAGGCAAGTTTGCAAGAACCCTCTAGCCAAGAACATAAGTACTATCTTTGCGTTCTTGGTTTTGAGAAACACCTTTTGTCTTCTCCCAGAGGAAACATCTCTCACAGAAGATCTGCTTGGGCGAGTCCACCATGATTGAGGATGGGGTCAGAGACGGAAAGATAGCAGGAGAATGGGCTGGTGGTGGAGGGGGAGGAGGAGGGGCCACCTTCATCTACTGGGTAAGACCCCTTTATAAATGGAGGCGATGTGATCAGTCACTCATCCTGTTTTGTCCCAAATACATTCAATATTAATATTAAGACCCCTTGAAATTATTTTTTAATAAAGTGGAGAATATAGCTAGACTCAAGACAGTAGTGTCATGATTAAGGGTGTTGAAGGTTCGAGAATTACTTGAAAGCACATTGGAGCAGGGGGTTGGAAAGGTTCTGCTATCAAAAGTTTCTTAATAATGGAAAAATATTTGATGTGCTTTATTTGTACATGGCACCAAACTGGAACCATTAATCACTGTATTTCTTCTTATGACAGGTATGTAAGTGAGCAGGTTAACGCTGCTGAGTCTATAGCATGTGTCCAAGAGCTTTGCATTGAAATTGAATTAAAGTGTATCAAAGGTACACAAGTCAACTTTCAAGCAATGAAAGTTTCTCCTCTTGGCAGTTGGTGAGTTAGCCTTTGAACTTTCCCTCCCAGGCTGAGAATGGGGTCATAGTGCCCCTTCTCATTGCGGCAGGCGGGGGAGGGAATGCCTACCTGGAAGACCCTGAGAGCAGCCTGGACCACATCAACCTGGAGCAGTACGACAACCACACAGTCGCATCTGGGACCAACGGCAAAACCGGCGCTGCAGGTCCGCCCTCTTTCATCGCATCCTTTTATTTACTTATTTTCCAAAACATGTATTTTTCATTGTGTTTCTAGGGCTAGTGCTGGTCTTGGGTGTTCTGGCACCGTAGGCGAGATTCAGCAGAAATGCAACCCCCCCCCCCCCCCCCCCCCCCCCGAGCAGCCAAAGCCAAGTTTGGTCTATTCGTTTATATTAAAGACATTTCAGCAGCACAGGGTATCTGGCTGCTAACTAGCTAGCTCTCACAAGAAAAGTAGTGAAATATTAAAACCAGTGTAAATAACTGTAATGTCATGGAATGCAAGCAGATGTATTGCTTCTGATTTCTTTTCCTGCCTTAAGTGACACCTTAGATGAGTGCCTGTATCGCCTAGAGGACAGACTAGCCCTGTCTGTGACAACTGGGGATAATCTGGCCATCACATTGTTCATTTAGCCTGACAAGTGCTGGTTCAAATCCAAGTCCTTAGCAAAAATAATATACCTCAATTACTTTAATGGTTATACTGAGTAAGTATAGAGCTTAAATTGCAAGATACAAACATCCTACTTGAAATGGCATCTTCAAAAAGAATAGGATAACCATGTGTAAGGCTTATGAAGCATAATCACTTTGGGTCAGCCTTCTTGACCATGCTGCCATAGATGTCATTCTGGGATGAGGCAAGCGGATGAGTGTTCATCCTTGCATATCACTGGCCCTTTGAGGGATCCACTGCTCTGCCAAAACACCAGCAGTCATTCTTCTTAGTGCGGGGCTTGAACCCATTACTCTGTCAGCGTGAGCGAGAGGTTGCATAAATTCACTGTGTTTAATTAAAAGTTTTTTTCCCTGATCTGCTGTGAAGAACAGAAAAATGCATTGTAGCTACACAGCCAGGATTAGACAAATGTATGATTCCCAGCTAGCAGAACCGTCTTTGGAAAAAAAAGCCAGAGAGGGTGTGATCGAAAAATCCATGATTATGCCAATTTCCAATACTAATTTAATCAGTAATTGATAATGAAACTTGTGATAATATTGTTGATTTTAAATATGATGATTGTAATGATTAACTTCAGCCTTGAAACATTTAATATACTAAACATATAATGCAAGCTTGCCTAAGTAATAGTTTGTGATTCAGGTAAGAGGAACTAACGTGTTTTGGCATAAGAGCTTGATTTGCAAAAGGTCAAGGTATAGACCTGATCCGAGAAGTAAGGCATTCATAAGAAAAGTGTCTATAGGGGGGGTCACGATTACGTGAAAAGAGAACTAAAGGAACGTATGGGGAAGTGAGACAAACTTGTTTGAACAAGGTGATGTGATCACAAGAGAGATCATGAAAAGGTTAACTCTGTTCTAACCTGATAATGGATCAAGTTTAACAGAAGTGACTGGTGTCTACAGATCTCCCTACTGTCTGTAAACTGTCGTATTTTGGCTATAAAAGATGCATGCACTTGTTGTTCAGGGAACAGAACACCAGACGCATGAAAGACTTCTGAGTGTCTGTTCCCCAAAGCTTTGCGAAAGAAATAAAGTTTCTCAGACCATTCCCATTAGACCCGAAGATTTCCAGTAACATTTATTGATTTGCTCTGGTGCGGTACGTATGTATGCATGTACAGATAACAGCTTCTTTTTCTCCTGCAGGGGGTGGTGGAGGATGGATGGGTGCCTCAAACTTTGCCAGGGCTGGAAAATCTCTTCTTGAGGGGGCAGAGGGGGGTACTTCTTGCCCCAGTGCCTTGTCCAGCCTAGCCTGGGCCACCTCTGGAGGATTTGGAGGAGGAGGAGGTGCCTGCAGTGCCGGAGGAGGAGGAGGTGGATACAGAGGTGACCTGCCCAGTGTTTTGGACACATCGAAATGTGCATCTAGAAAGCAGAGCAACACATAGTGGCTCAGACCAGAAAAGAAGACATTTGATTTCCTGGTCCAATGCCTCAAGAACATCTAGAATTATATCAAAATATCAATCCAAAAAAGTCATTCCCCAGGGTCACCTAAATGCATCGTGGTGTTTTTTTAGTAACAGAAGATTCAATGTATCTCTGAGGAATCCAGGCTAAAACATAGTTACTGCTTTGTCACTGTTTTAAAGTGTGTGTCTTATTTTTCTGGATGGTTGCTGTAAGCAGAACAAATATCTCACACAGAAATAAATGCATTCTGGGTAATTGGATAATTGCTCTGGCAGGATAGGTCACAGCTGTTTCCATTAACAAATTAGGATGCGGCTCTTTGAATGCCGTTCTTGTCATCTTATAAGTGGCATGATTGCAAGTGGGACAGCTTCTCAAGGATCTGATTGGAGTGGAGGAGCCTCAGATCTGCTCGGAGTATCATGAAAACTGTTAGCGTAAAAGGGCCTATTGAGAAAGGTCGGTGTAAGGGGGATCAGAGCAGTCATGCTCTGCAGATTTTACTCATTAGTGAAGCTGAATTTATAATTGTGAATATTGGCTCCTGTGTGTCATTTTGTCATGATATTTCAGTAACATCTGTGCATCATTGTGGCTTTAGGGTCAGTATAACGTTATCATATTCAAATGTTTGCTTAGTCAGACATGAATTCCATTTTATTTAATGTGCATAAACCTCCAGCTCTCTGAAAATATCTTCAAGTTTTGTAGAGCATCTGCTCAGGCTTTGAGCAAAGTCCTTCCAAATCTGCTTTGTTGAAATACGAGCATGAAATAACACTGATACTTTATGTCCATTTTTACTACTGAAACATCTCTCTGCTCCACTCTCACATCCCATCGTAGGTGGGGATACATCCCTCACTGATAACATCACTGCAGATGGCCAGGAAGGAGTCTCCTATATACATCCCAGTGGGGAGATCTTTCTCCTCCCGTTAGCAGGTGAGGCTTCCTTACCTCACTGGCCCAAAGAGACCTCCGCCAATTCTTCAATTTGCCCACTTTTATGCAGCCGCCACCTGAGACTATTTCGTCTGAGATGCTGAGGCAGACCTGATTTTTGAGTAAATCGGGCAATGTGGGATTCATAATGAGTGCAGATCGTGTGGTAATGCTATGCAGTTTTAAATGGCCATCTGTCTAGTGTGATGTGCTTTCTTTGTTTAAGAAAATTCTTCTGACACGAGGGGCCAAGCAAAAGCAGCATTCTTGAGTACAGAGAGTGATCAGTTACTGAAATGTAAAAATACTAGGGGCAGAAAGAAGATCCGGACATGGATCTTATGGAAGCGGTTCCCTTCACATTCATTATCCTGCCACTGTTAAATAACAGGATTACGGAAGAAAAGGCTAATTGCTTGCATGTTTCTTGCTTGCATCGAAAGCCATGGAGAGCCACGGCGAGGTGGAGATCAAGGTACAGCTGAACTGCACGCACTGTCAGTCCCAGAGCTGCCACAGGAATGAGGACACCAAGGTCACAATCTGCCTCTGCCCACATGGGGAGGTGCTGGCCAATGACAACGTCACCTGCGTGGGTGAGCCCCCTCACCTCCTCCCCCACGGGCAGAATTTGCCACTTTGTATTTCCCACTGATTTGCATTGTGTGCGTGCTGCTACAGGACAGGGGTGATGAAATCATGCTGGGGGCTTCACACAGAGCATGATGGGCAACCACCATCATTTATAAAAGAGCTGCAAAACAGGCTCTATGCAGAGTCTGGTGCAATGGCTTAGCATGTAGCAGTTTACCATGAGTGTTGATTCATAATGTTCATTTGCCTGTTGTTATGGCTTCTCTTCCACCTTCTACTACCCTCCAGATGAAGCTATATGGTGGTTACCATTTCTCTTATAACATTTCACAGTCCCCCCAGGCCTCGCTCTCGAAGGACATCCATCTCTGCCGCTCGTCTTGGCTGCGGTGGTCTCCACAGCGGTGACTGTCATCATCTTAACCTGTGCCAGCCTCACACTCAGTAAGAGACTCTTCCAGCTCTGCGTGACCTCTGTCCCGTCCACCTTCCATCGGCTCTGAGACACGCCCAGCCCCCCGCCCCCCCCACATTTAACATCTGCTCTCAAATCTGCCCCCGTGTCTGCTCCCTCTTCTAGGCTTTAAGCCTCTAGGTTGCAATTTGATGCAGTTTGCTGTATTTCTCCTAGAGGAAGTCTGTGATCCAAGCCTGCATACTTTGGAACCAGGCAATGAGATGGAAAGAAAAACAACTTCTAAGTTAATGTCACAGCTTGACAAGAGCAGGTCACTATTATGGCTTTTTAATGAGAAAAGAGTAATGCAGCATTCCTTTCTAGGCAAATTTCTGGTCTTCATTTGAACAACCGTGAAACCATGTGGTCTTTACTCAACCTACCAAATCCACCTCAAGGAAACAGTGATTTTCTAGTCACATTTTTCTTAAGGTCACTAGTTTTCATACCAGCTCGTAGCGTATCTCAAAGAAGATTGGCCCTGTTCGTTTTAGTTCGACAGCAGTTTGCATATACTGAGATATATTATGCAGTTTAAAGGAAGTGTGCCATTATCAAAGAGTTCTGGCAATATTATGGGGTTTTTATTTATTTATTATTAAAGAAATCAATGATACCACTTAGAGAAAACTCAAAATGACATGGAAACTGGATACTAGAGCTTATATAAAGGCAAAGATTTGTATGCAATATTACATCACGGCAAAACATCAACAATTGAATAATGTTTTATGGGAGTGTTGTGGAGGGGGAGTGGATATTAATTACAGAAATTTTAAAAAAGTCATGTCATACCTGGGGCAAGATGAGGGCAAAACCATTTTCACTCCTACACTTTGGGACAAAGTCAAGGTGCGACGACTGCATTAGAGATGTATCTCATGCACTAAAAGGCATCTTGGGGCTTTTGTGAAAGTGTGAGTGGGGAAAAATTAAGGATGGGAATGAAGTACGGACACAATAATCTGCCATCATTAATCAAACTCACCTTATTTACTCTGCATTATCAAACTCACCTTATTTACTCTGCATTATCAAACTCACCTTATTTACTCTGCATTATCAGTCCTTTGTTTTTCATTGTAACTAAAGGAATAGTGTGTGTGTGTGTGTACAGTATGTGTGTGTGTGTGTGAGCGGGTTTACCTATCCTTATGGGGACATAATGTCCCCATAACATGATAAATATCCGTTTTTTTTCCCTTATGGGGACCGGTTTCCTGGTCCCCATAAGGGAAAACTCTATTTTATAAAAATTGGTGACTGCTATGAAGAAACTAAAAATGCAAAAACTCTTGTATTTTGTTAGGTTACTTATGGTTATGGTTAAGGCAGGGTGGGGGTTAAGGTTGTCATAGTTAGCGTTAGCATTTTTCCCATTGAAATGAATGAGCGGTCCCCGTAAGGATATGTTTACCCTACGTGTGTGTGTGTGTGTGTGTGTATGTAGAGCTTGTTTTGTTCTCTGACTACTCAGAACCTTAAGGAGTCTCTAGGGAATTAGAGAAGACTATTCCGTGCACGTTGTATTTACATCTTACATATTACTGAGGGGTAGGAAACAATGGAAGAGAATCATATTTTTAGTTTTTTACAGATATACAATGGAACCCTTCTGATTTATATGAAAATTATGACTGCTGCTGTGATGTTTGTAAAGAACTTTTTTTTTAAGACATTAAAGACAGGAGAGTGAGTAAACATTCAGAGCTTGTGATGATCAACATAGACCCATCCTCCAGCTTTATTACATATTTCTGTTTTTGTCACTTTTCACATGAGACAACAACTAGTTCTGCCAACAAGCCAGGAGACATTCCTGGTGTCTCTGACTTCCTGTTTTTCCAAGCAGCCCAGAATTAATAGCTGGAGTTGTGACTGTCACAAGATCACAAGCTGTTGCTGAATAATGTTGTACAGAAACTGTCTGTATATAGGTTTTATTTAGCTTGTTATACATGATTAAGCTGTTTACTGGAACATATGAAACAAAAGTACAATCTACTGTTTATTCACTATCGGTACAAAAGAGGTCTTGTTAGAAATTATATATGATTTAATATTGGGTGGCTCTGCCATGGTTCTGGTGTGTAATATAAAAATAGCACTGCTTCTTCAAAAAATGGCTGACTGAGAGCATAGATTGAGAGCACTGATCAGTTTGAGAAAACTCCCAGCACATTTCCCCTGCATTACACAGCTGTTTGAACGGGCAGAGTCAAACATGTGTGACACTATAAAGCATCTGAAACCTTGTCCTACTGTCTCTTGTGCTGAATAAAGCCCACCAGAAACAGGTCTGAGTTGAAACTGTCGTTTCAGCTTCTTCAAAAGGGGGTTTCTATGAGCTGTAACTATATATCTAATGTGAATAACCTTTTATATTCCACACAGTGGTTGAATATTTGCCTGAAGGTTGCTGGTTGAGCTCCCAGGAGAGGCTTCATTGTAGTAACTCCTCACTATGGTACTAAATATGAATTGTTCAATTCCAGTATCCAATGGGATAAAATTTGCTCTGGGTACACATATCAGCTGAGGAATGAAGATAACCATTTAAGGAACAGAGTTGGGCAGTGTGATGGCGCAGTGGTTAGCATGGTCCCCTCACACTTCTGGGAACAGGGTTTGAGTCTCCACCATGGCTCCAGGTCTGCATGTTCTCCCTGTGTCATTGTGGGGTTTCCTCTGGGTACTCAAGTCTCCCCCCCCATCCAAAAACATGTTGAGGTTAACTGGAGCTATCAAGATGCCCGTGGGTGTGTGAGAGGGAACGATGTGCGGGTGTGTGAGAGAGAACGGTGTGCGGGTGTGTGAGAGAGAACGGTGTGCGGGTGTGTGTGAGAGAACGATGTGCGGGTGTGTGAGAGAGAACGATGTGCTGGTGTGTGAGAGAGAACGGTGTGCGGGTGTGTGAAAGAGAACGGTGTGCGGGTGTGTGAGAGAGAACGGTGTGCGGGTGTGTGAGAGAGAACGGTGTGCGGGTGTGTNAGAGAACGGTGTGCGGGTGTGTGAGAGAGAACGGTGTGCGGGTGTGTGAGAGAGAACGGTGTGCGGGTGTGTCCCATGGACACATTCCCTTGTCCCTTGTGCCTGGAGCTTCTGGGATATCCTCCATGACCCCCCCCCCTCCAAACCATGCATAGGACAAGCAGGTACAGAAAATGGCTGGAGGTAGATTAGGCTTTTGATGTGCATGAAAATTTCTCTGTAAAGATGTCAGATCATTTTCTAGTAACCCCAGAGCTGATTCTGCAGTGTGCCTAGCTATCCAGTCTATTTGGAATCTACAGCTGAATGTGCTTTCTTGAGCTAAGACATTCTCATATGTTGGACAGAGCACATAGTTTGTGCTATAAAACAGACAAAAAATTAGGCAGGTTAGCTTAGCTTAGTGGCTACTGTGTCTTCAGTTCATGAGTCATGTCCTAGCTTGACAGTCGAAAGATCTATGTCCTGGAAGTGTGAAAGTTTAAAAAATCACCTTATCCCTGCCATTGTGCTCGCTTGACTGCTGACAATGGGTCACTATTATCTATCTTTAGTCCAGGTGTCCTGCCCTCCTGTGCCCTAGGGTCTTCATCCTCCAGAGACTTGAGTCAGGATCCCCCATCAAAAGTGGACGACTCCAGCAATTACCCACCCTGCTGGACTGACTCTCTCTCATGCTCCCAAATTTAATCCCCATTTTCCAGGACAACAGAAGATGCATTTGAAATATATCATCTAGACTTTTTCCCTCAGCCAGAGTAAATATGTGTATCAGCTGAGCAAAAAAAAACAGTTCTGGCTTCAAAGCCACTCTTAAATGACCCTAGACATAAACTAGCTTCAGGATCCCTTTGACTCACATCTGGCTGAATGGATTTCGATGCAGCAGCAGCTCCTTTGTCTTCCCATGTTATTTCAGCTGTGTGTCTCAAATGGTGAAAGTCAGAGGAAACCATGCAAAGACGCTCTGATAGGACGAGGCTTTGCTCATCAGTAACAGCTTTGGTATGCTTGCCTTAGCATAAAGTTCTTATTGTCAAAGTTCTACCATCCTAATTCTCCAGAGAAGCCAGGTATTACTGTGATGTCTCCAGCAGTTTCCCAATCTGGTCTTTGGGGATCCACAACTGGTCCACATTTCTGATCCCTTCAAGCTCCCTGCCAAAGAGTCCACATTTCTGCCCTCTACTGGGAGCTGGGAGGGAGCAAAAATGTGGACTGCTGTGGGTCCCCAAGGACCGGATTTGGAAACACTGGTCTACAGGGTCAAGAGGGAGGAGTGCTCAGGCATTTAACAGTGTCTCCCCACCTGAGCTCTCCCCCATGCAGGTTGGTAGTCTATGCAAGCTCCTCAGTCGAGCATCAGTCCCTTCCCCTTCCCCCGTCTGCACCCGAGGCCCAACAGCAACATGGATCTTTCACCTCCAAGCATCGCCCCCCCCAAGGCAAACTACCAACCTGCATTGGGGATGCGGCCAGCCTCCAAAGAGGGTGAGTCCCCCCAGGCAATTAGCTTAGAGGGCCACATGTAGGTTGAACTGTGCTAGCGGACTCAGGAAGGTCATCTGCAGCCTTATTCTAGCATGTACCCCTAACTTGCCTTACATGAGGCTCAGAATAGCAGCAACCTGCTTGTCCTTCAGTCATGTTTCTCATCCTCCATATGCACTTCCCTGTCACGTCTGATTCACCTGGAATGAAGTCAGAGGGTGGACATTTCAGGTCCAGAAAGTAAAAATCCAGACCAGGATTTTGTTTCAACCAACCAGTTGAGCATAAAGAGTCACAGTCACAGAGTACTCAACTGGTTGGTTGAAACAAAATCCTGGTCTGGATTTTTACTTTCTGGACCTGAAATGTCCGCCTCTGAATGAAGTACATGTATAGCTCATAAAGCAGGGATCCCCAATTCCAGTACTGGAAGGCCAGTCTGCAACACAGTTTGCAAATTTCCCTGCTCAAACACATCTTAATCAGCTCACCAGCTAATTGTCAGATTTAGTAGGTTTGTTTGAGCAGCAATTGTGTTGCAGACTGCCCCTCCAGCACTGGAACTGGCGAATCCTGTCATAACATCTTTGGCTGATCTTAGCATCACTGCCACTCTTCATTTTTGCTGTATTAATGGGAGGCCACTGTGAAATGTAAGTCTCAGCTGGGCAGACTAGGAGGTTCCTGTGCACCAGGGCATGAGCTTAGCTCTCCAAGGTCATTTTAAAGCAAATGAAGCAGGTCGAATCTGTCGCACAGTCAGTCCTGCCCCCCCTTTTCTCAACACATCTTGTAACTCCCACATCTCACTTTGTAGTCTATTACCGAAAGAAGAACCGGCTTCAAGGAATGAGAGTGCGTCTGCAGAGTCCAGAATACAAGCTGAGCAAGATCCGCACCTCCACCATCATGACAGACTACAATCCCAACTACTGCTTCGCTGGCAAGGTGGCCTCCCTGGGTGAGCTGAAGGAGGTGCCTCGCAAAAACATCACGCTGCTCAGGTAACTCTTCTTGCTGACGAGGAGGAGTTGGACGGCCAGGAGGTGCTGAAAGGTGACCTTAGGCATGAAATAAAAACTGGAACTTCCAAAAAAGTAAAACATTTGCTATAATATTTGTTTAGCCATATTGATTTTGTCAGACAGACTGTTGACCTCTTTAAGGACATATCCATCTGACTGTCTGTGACTTATTCAGGACTGTCTCAGGCATCACGTGGCACAATGCAAGGGACACACTAGACAGGGCGTGGAAAATAGTTTAAAAATTTTAATAATTACATGAATAATTAGAACCCAGTATCTATGATTTATATATTAAGTTTACGTTTTTAAGTTTAAGAAGTTTATTGTCATATGCATGCTAAAACAGTCAGTTACACCATACAATTACTTTGCATGTTCCGTCTGGGCACAGTTGATACAAATCAAAAATAAGACACAATACCAAAAATCACACAGTGCAACGTAAACATATAAACATATAATGCAGTAGACAAATATACTTAAAATATATCAATATGATACAAATATGAAAAAAGAAGCTCCTCAAGTAGAGGTTGTGCAAAGTTTGCAGTATTGTGTGTGTGTGTGTGTGTGTGTGTCTGTCTGTCTGTGGATTAGGTTTATATTACATTATGGGGACCAAATGTCTCCCACAATGTGATACAAATATGTTATTTTGACATTGAGGACCATATTTCTGGTCCCCACACTGATCTGTAAATGCAATCAAAAAAGTAAAAATGCTAAAAGTCTCAGATTTTGTCTGGTTGCTTATGGTCACATTTAGGGTTGGGTAAAGGTTAAGGTCATCATGTTGGGATTAGAGTTTCCCCCATAGAAATGAATGGAGAGTCCCCACAAAGATATAATTATGAACCTGTGTGTATGTGTGTGTATGTGTGTGTGTGTGTGTGTTGGGGGGGGGGTGCTTTCAGCACCATGCAGTACTTTTCCATGACCTGGCTTTGCCACGTCGCGGAGGTAAATGAACTTGCCCCCTTGTCTGTGCTCTTCTTCTTTACGAACACCTTTTGTACTTAGACAACTTTAATGTTTGGCAGTACAGTAGCATGAGTCTTGCGGGATCCTTACTCTGCATCCTGTGTTAATCAGTGTGCCGCGACCTGCATTGACCCCATCTCTCCCCTCCCTCCCTCTGTGGACACAGGGCCCTGGGCCACGGTGCCTTTGGTGAGGTGTACGAAGGCCAGCTGCTGGGACTTGGCGGTGACAATATAGCCATGCAAGTTGCCATTAAGGTCAGTAGATCAGCCAATGACACAGCTGTTGAATTAATGCTTTTTTATACATTACCCAGCAAAGAGAAGAATGTGTGTGAGGAATGTTCCTGAAACCGCTGGCTATAATAATAACCTTATTCATAAAAGAAACATTCATTAGAAAGTCCAAAGCATTCATTAAATACACATTGTTGAAAGGTGTTGCTGGTACTCGTGGGGCTGGGTTACCTGCCTTCATAGAATTCTGCAATCTGTGGCTCAACAGACTCTTCCTGAGGTTTGCTCAGAGCAGGATGAAATGGACTTCTTGATGGAGGCGCTGATTATGAGGTGTGTGACCCAAAAAGTCCATCGGAACCGCACTCAAAAGCAGGGATCTTCAGCTGCAAAACATGTGACAAAGGGAATAAGTGTACAGATTAGTGTGTCCTATTGTAAGCATTTTCTTTTCAATAGACAATTAGCACAATTAGCCTTGGACTGTATTTCGCATTTTTATGGAAGACTTGACAAACTTCTTACTATTACAGTCTCAGACACGTCATGGAGGTATTTAACATGTAGCTTGCTGACCTGCATGAAGCAGTATGTAAGGTAACGCCATGTTCACTAGCATGTCGTTGCCCCCCGCTGCAGTAAGTTCAGCCACCAGAACATCGTTAGCTGCATTGGTGTGAGTCTGCAGACCCTGCCACGCTTCATCCTGCTGGAGCTCATGACCGGTGGTGACATGAAGAGCTTCCTCAGGCAGAACCGGCCCAAGACTGTAAGTTTAACATCATGGTCCAGACAGTCGTGATGGCCAAAGCAACGTTTCATGAACCATATGCTGTATTTTCTGCCGCCACTAGATGGTGCTCTTGGTTTGCTTAGGGGCATGCTTTGAGCAGAGCACCATCTAGTGGGGTCAAAAAATACAGCGAATGGTTCATGAAGTGTCATTTTGGCCATCATTACCAGACAGTCTGCCCCTGGTCAGTCGGCCTTAAGGAACATAAAAGTGGTGTAGAAGTGCACCACTTTAATTGCTGCTGTCTGGCATTGCGATGCTGTGTGTGCTAGCATGTCACTGTTATCCTCTGTATGTGTGTTTGCATGTGCTTGTGTGTGTGGTAGAATATGTGTGTAACTCTCCAAACGGTCTGCACATGTTCCAGGGCAAGGTCTCCTCCCTGTCCATGCTGGAGCTGCTGCACATGGCCAGGGACATTGCCTTTGGCTGTCACTATCTGGAAGAGAACCACTTCATCCACAGGTTGGGCCCTTCAGCAGGTTCACCTATCCAAACTGCCCATGTCTGAATATAACTAGCATATCAGCCAGGATTGTTACTACTGCAAGTCTGAGCAGGAAATGTCTATCCCAGAGTTCTGAAGCCATGCAACTTTTTTCCTAAGTTGCAATGACATAATAATGACATGGTTATTCTGCTCCCTTTTTCAAACCAGTGACAGATGAGTGTAGTGTCTTCTTTTGAATATTTCACATTGCCCTTGATGGGCTTAGGGTGGAGAGATAAAGCCTTTCACCCTCTCTGTACTGATCACAATGACCCTGTCAAAACAGTCTGCCTGCATTAGATAATATCAAAGCTCGATGAGCCAGCATGAGCTCGGATATAGCTTCTGAGAACCTGGGGCTGTGTTTGCAGCCCATTCCCAAGCATCAGTGATCCTCTTATTTTAGCATGTATAATATGTGGAAAACAATGCCCCTCACCAGGGAAAGCAATTTGAAGATGGATAGATGTATGGATGGATGGATTGATGGATGGATGGAAATGAGGGATAGTGAGTTAATCTTCCTGATTATTCCAGAGACATTGCTGCCAGAAACTGCCTCCTTACCTGCTCTGGCCCCAGGAGGGTGGCCAAGATCGGAGACTTTGGCATGGCGCGGGATATATACAGGTGTGTGATGCGACCTCGCATTTCCTGCTCGCCTTCCCTCCCTCTTTGTGCTGGGATTATAAGGCCAATGACAGAGCTAAGCTGGAAGGAACCATGCAGTAACTGCACGGGGGGATGCTGAGTCAGAACAGGCTAACATATGGCGCAAGTTATCGCCATCATAAAGGCGTTTTCCTCGCTGGATAGTCTGCTTGGAGTTAAATGCATCAGTATGCTTAGATCTGTTCATGCTCTGTGGAGCAATGAATGAGCTACTCTTCTGTGAATGGAATTTAAAATCCAAGGTGCCCCTGAGCACCCCGGTTGGCCGGGGTGCTCGGGGGGGGGGGGGATTATTCCCCACCCCCCCCTCGGGGATTGGGAATAATCGGGGCTAGTTGGGGATCTGGCCCTGGTGCGGGGGGAGGGGGGGGGGGCACTCCTGGCACGCCCTTATTGCTCCCCTGGGCCCGACACCACATTTCACACAGCACTAGGGCTTTGAGGGGCAGTGGGGAGGTGCACTGAGACACTGCCCCTCAATTTCTACTTGCATGTTAGACACCACATGACACTAGGGCTGAGGAGGTGGGTTGAGGCAGGTGGGGCTCTGCCATCTGCCAGCAGTGGGGGGTGCCCATGCCTCGACTGCTCTGCTGACACGGTCCATATTGCATTAGGGCCTTGGGGTGCGGGGAGGGGGATGGGGACCTTCGCCATTGGCCAGCGGTGGGGCCCTCATACCCGAACTGCACCCACTAATTTTAATGCATTGTAGACATAAACACACAACTCTCTCACACATATACATACACACTTTGCACTAACATGGAACAGGGATGCAATGGGGGCTGAGGGGCCTCCCCTAACTCTCTGTCTCTGGACCTGCGTGGGTGGGGGGCCCACCGTGTGGAAGATCCATCATGGGGGAGATGCAGGCGGCCCTGGCCAGTGTGGGCGGCCTCCTCTTGTGGGCCATGGCCCAGGTGGTCCTTGGTTCTGCTGCGCCGGAGAGGGGCCCTGGCGGGTGATCCAGGGAACTTTGGGAAGAGTTATGTTTGTACTCTGCATTCCCCTGCACTTTGTTTTCTCCATCCCACCTTTATGATTATTCTTATTATTATTTCTATTTACCTTTTTTTTCCCTTCCCCATGGTGATTGATGTCTGTTATTCTTATGATTGTTGTTTCTGTGTCCTCCTTGCCTTTTTTTATATATATATATAATCATGGTACTAGGGCGGGTGAGTTTGGAGTGGCCACACTGGAATTGAAGATCTTTACACTTTAGCTTTAATTTAAAATAAAGTTGTCCTCCAAAGAGAGGGCAGAAAAAATAAAATAATAAAAAAAAATAAAACCCAAGGTGATTTCATGTGTAAACAGCTCAGGGAATCCCTGTAACTAGTGTAAGTGCAATGAACCAGAGCTCCATGTACCTGTATAAGGATCCACTCTATCCGCAGAATCAGTGCTGATACACTCAGATCTGGCTGTCCTAATGATGCAATCTGTACCTACAAACTCGCATTCTGCTGTGATCTCAGGGCCAGCTATTACCGGAAGGGTGGCCATGCCATGTTACCTGTGAAATGGATGCCGCCAGAGGCCTTTTTGGAAGGGATCTTCACCTGCAAGACTGATACATGGTAATGTCAGTGGCAGCTTCGAGGAGGTTTTGAGGAACCTCACACCTGCACCTCCTTCTTCCATTAAAGCAGTAGGGTACCTCTATTACAGCACATTTGTTACATGGGCAGTAGCCTCATACAGGGTAATGCAAACTTTAGGGCTTGCTAAAGGCACACACTTCAAAATCATTCCAGTGAACATCAGATTTGCATGGCTGTTTCTTTCATTCACCCTTGTATAAAATCATGTCTTTCACATTAGTTAATTGTAGTCTAGTTCAAATAACAGATGTTGCAATGAACAGGTTTTTTTGCATTTTCGTATAAACTTTAAAAAGTGAGTGGGTCTGTATGCTCCATATTTTTGTATGTTTTTCTTCAAAAAGTACTTGCCTGTGGATGGCTGTAACAACTAACCCCAGCACAGAGGACCAATATGGCTCCTCGTGGAATAATACAGGAGGGAGACTTGACCTACTTCCCTCTCCCCCTTTAGGTCATTTGGGGTACTGTTGTGGGAGATTTTTTCTTTAGGTTACATGCCCTACCCTTGCAAGACCAACCAGGAAGTGCTGGAGTTTGTGACAAGTGGAGGCAGGATGGACCCCCCAAAAAACTGCCCTGGGCCTGTGTGAGTTTCTGTAGACATGTGTTATTGTGACAAAATTATTTTATTATTATTATTATTATTATTTAGACTGCTGTTAGACATTGGATCATTTTCCATACTGACTTATATGTATATTATACAGTATAATGTGAAAGAGGAATTGCTTGGTAATACATCAGATATAAAGACCTCTGCAGAGAAAGTAACCTGCTTAGCACATTTTCTTGGCCCAGAGCTGTTCTTAAGCCTATGGAGATATTTATAGGCTCCTGCTCAAAGCTGTGTGTTGTGTGACATGTGGCACAGATACCGAATTATGACCCAGTGCTGGCAGCACTGTCCAGAGCACAGGCCCAACTTCAGTACCATTCTGGAGAGGGTGAACTACTGTACTCAGGTAAGCCCCCAGTTCATCTAATGAGTGCCTGTCATACACGATTCTTGCTTTTCTAGCATATTAAGCTGCTGTGTACCAAGACACACAGTATTAACACAGTATGAACATGGAGGTATCTGCATGTAGTGCATGCATAGTAAGCTGGAAGGTAAGCATACTGTATATAATTATTAGATAAGGAAACAATGGTATGGAAAATCAGTAAAACATGGATTATGCCTCTCAGAGGAATATCATGCAACTTGGAACAATCAGGACACTGGAATATACCTCATCCTAAACTCTATAGTGGGAGGTAAACTGGACTTGGGTAAAGCCACGGTCCTTCGTATTGTGTGGGAGGCAGTGGTGCCTTTTCTCTTTAGTATGTCTGCACAGCATTATGGTGGCTGAATGCAAAAATAGTGAAAGGAGTAGGTGGTCTATAAAACAGAAGTTTTGCTGCAGACTTGATTTCATCTTCATTGCATCTTGCATGTTGCTTCTCCCGGAGAGGACAACGATGGCAGTATGTTAAGATCAGATCAGACTTATTTTTCCCCAGTATCAGAGATGCTGATGGTCAGTAAATCTTAAATCACGTCCGATGACTTAACTCTCATTTTACCACCATGGACCTCCTCAATCTGCCCGTCGGTCTCACATGTCCTCTTACCTTCGCTCGGGAGCAAATCTCTCCTCCCTCACCTGAAAGAAGCAATCCTCTGTCCAAGGGGAAAAGCCTCCTGGCCCCAGATTTGAAGGTGCTGATTCTCATATCTGCTGCTATCTGGACATGCTGATCCGACGAGACCAAAAGCGTAACATTCTAGTCCGCCATCCTGGACGGCGCCACCATGTTTAGGCACCTCTGGTTTTATTCATAGGGGGAACCAGGCAAGCAGCAGCCCCTATAGCCCAAGTTCCCACAGCCCCCCCCCCCCTCCCACAGTATGTGGGGGGACACGTGGACACTCGCCTTCCACAAAGCATGTGTAGGCTGTCTTAGCATATCCCCACCAACCCCCATACAGCCATGCTACAGGCAAGAGAAGGTGCACTGTTCATTTTATTATGTGAGAATGATTCGTTTTAGTTTCTATTCTAGTTTATTTATGTCCCATATAGACTGCAAAACCATACATGACAGGTGAAGTTCCTAAATGCAATTCTTATACAGTCAGTCTCCAGTTTGTACAGTATATAATAATAATTATTATACAATAATAATACAGTAACTACATACGGTATTGTACTGCACCTCAAGCTGATGAACTGCTGAAGCCATGCAATGTTTTCATGAGTGTCATAGAGTCATGTGTGTATTTGTTATTACGCACTGTCGTGTTTGTTATTACGCACTGTCGTGTTTGTTATTACGCACTGTTGTGTTTGTTATTTTTAATATAATAGGCTTTATGGCAGTCCATTCGTAAGTATGAGTTGTCCGTAATTTGGATGTTCTTAACCCAGGGACAGTCTGTACACAGTAATAATGGCATACTGAAAACAGTTACATGTATCAAAGATACTGTAAAACTTCAAATATTATTAGTACTACAGCAGAAATTTCTTCTGCCAAGTGTCCAAATGGGAATTAGCATGTGAGAAACATGCAAACAGTTATTTTGTAAGGCTGCCTGTTTTGTGTTTTATTCTAGAACATAAGTGTAAATGAAGCAAAAAGAAGGATAAAGAAATTAATCCAACAGCAAGAGCATTAATTACAGCAAAGTAAATGAGAAACAGTTGATACTTGTCAGTAATTAGTGATATGTGAAACCATCTACAAAACAGTTGCTCAAGTTAAATCCTGTTGACCTTGAGGAAATCCATCACTCTGTTTCTCAGACCGGGTGAGAATAGCCTAAACACAGATAAATTATCCGCCACGAGAGCTTGGGAGGCTGGGGAACTAAGCAGATCTAAAGACACCACTTATACTCCAGAAGTCCCTCCATTTTCCCTCCATTTCCCTCCATTTTCCCACCTGTGCAGTGTTAATTAGCGCTTGGTAGCTGGATGTGGGAAGACGTGATTGTCATGAACCCCAAAAAGCCAATTTTAGGTCCACAGTGATTTTTCCATTTTTCATATGGATATAGATTTTGGGTAAGAACCTTGGTGAAACTTTATGGGAACTGGGCCGTTTGTAAGATAACGGGGCAGGAATTAAAACACCAATGTACCCAGTTAGTGCTTAAGTGTACTGTTCGATATCACTTGTTGTATGTCAACCTCCTCTGCATGAATGATGGCTGAAGGCCATTGAAAAACTGGCCTGCTGGGACCACATTAATTTTTCATCATTAGCCTGAAGCTGCTGTAAGCTGATATATAAAATCATTCAAACATCAAATAAAATAAAATGGGCTTTTAAAAAAAAAAAATGTTCAACACATGTTTTCTGAATTAATTATATCGGGACATAACCTCCAAATGTGGCTGTAAGAATGAAAATTTTTTAGATTTAGGTAAGGTTTAGACAAGGAGCATGACATCACCTTGCTGCACCCACCACACATGCAGCACATGACATCACCTTGCTGCACCCACCACACATGCAGCACATGACATCACCTTGCTGCACCCACCACACATGCAGCACATGACATCACCTTGCAGCACCCACCACACAACAAACCATCTCAGGGACGAGAACCAGAGTGCAGCCGTGTGTTGGTGATACCTCAGCACCACACTAGTCCGAATGGACCAGTGTCAGTTCTTTCCGGTGGCTGCAGTGCCAATCCTGCAGATTAGATTCAGATCAAAGGTTAATTATTTTTGCCTTTAATTTTGTGGTGTGTCTTAGCATATGAATTTAGATATAACCCTGTGATTATTTGTCACCGCAGTTGTTATATTCTGCCTGCCACTGTATGTTATAATAACATGTGGTAACGCTTTACATTAACTGCACCTTCATAATGCTTTTATATTGCATTCATAAAACGTTCAGTACACCTTCATAAAGTATTCATTAAGTATTCATAAGCATCATGCATGTATACCTTAACATCCTAGCATCCCTTAACAGCTATAATGTACATTAATAACAAATATTATATAATAATAACAAACATTATAATTGTATAATCATGTAATGTTTTTTATTAATGTATATTAAATCTGTTAAGGGATGTTTGGACGTTAAGGTGTACTTGCATGCTACTTATGAATGTTCTATGAATGCATTATGAAGGTGCACTGAATGTTCTGTGAATGCATTATGAAGGTGCACTTAATGTTAAGCGTTGCCCAACAGGTAAGTTAGCAGTTCGTATTAGTGTAAGCTGGAATCTTGACTGCCAGTGAATGACGCACTACAGCACCTTTTAAATCATGGTCCCAGTGTCACCTCAAGCCTGTCAGATATAATACATGCCCCTATTAGTCTTGTCATAGAGTAGTTCCGATAATAGGATATGAGTGATTTATGGATCTGTGACATGTCAGGATTCTGTTTCTTCCTTCCATCTCCTAGGACCCTGACGTCATCAATGCATCCCTTCCGGTAGAGTATGGGCCCCTAGCAGAGAAGGAGGTCAATACTGTCCCCCAGACAGAGGGATCTGCAGCCTTGACTCCTCTGTTGACCCCAGAGCCCTCCCTGCCCTGGACCATCCCTCCACTCCCTCAAGACCGCAGACCTGTGTCTCTGCAGCAAGCTCTGCCATGGCAGCCTGAGGCACACTCACAAGCGGGGGCATCGGAGGTGACCTGGGTGGAGCCTGTTCTTTCCCTAGGGGCCGGATCTGGAGCTTGGCTTCACCCAGACCAGCACTTGCCTGTCACGGCTTCTTCCTCTGGTGGCCAGAAGTTTAAGAACAAGACCAAGAACCTCTGGAACCCTACCTACGGTTCCTGGGGGCTGGATGGCTTTGGACGGGGAAAAACAGCTCTGTCACAGACTCAGTCCATGCCTCTGTCTGGCACCCCGAGCAGCCCATCAGCGACCCCCGCCCCTGAACGGGATGACTCTGGATTTGATGGCAATGGAAGCTCATCCCCGACCAGTTCTCAGGCTTCCCCCTCCTCATCCTCCCCTTCATCACTGCCTCCTTCCAGCCTCAATGCTGCCACCAGCTCAGCTGCCACCACTAGTCCAATCAAGAACAACTCCACTGTTGGCACGGAGCTGGCCAAGTTACAGAGTTTTCCATGTGGCACTGTAAACTATGCCTACGAGGACCAGAACTATGAGGCTAACAACCTCCCCCTAGTGGTCACCAGAGTCCCAGTAGCCAGTTCAAACCCTGGTCCATCCATATCCTGGTCAGGTATCTCCGCATCAAGGATCTCCAAGCCTCATGTGAAGCGCCACGCCAGTTATGGACATGAAGACATCAAGCGGTACACCAAGTCGGAGAAGCCTACTCGCGATAGGGACTCTGGCCTCTCCCTCTCTGAGGACCTTACCGTCATTCCAGTTTAACGCCACAGAATGACACTGAATATACTGGGATACACTGGAATCCATCCAACACCTCACGCTGCAATGGGTCCCGGCCGCTTTATTTATCAGCCATCGCTTACTTTTTTCTGCCATTTTTGTAGAACTATTGTCATGCCATTCATTGTCCATCCATTTACCATGATCAGGACCACAGGGAGGGCCTGGAACCTATCCCAGGCAGCTTAGGCAGCAAGGCTGGGGTACAGCCTGGATGGGATGCTCGTCAATCACGGGGCACGTGTCAGCACACACTCACTCACGGTCATACGCTACAGGCAATTTAGAGATACTTATGAGCCTAACTGCATCTCTTTGCACTATGGGAGGCAACTTCTGATGGTTGGTCAAGTAGAATGCAGGTTGTCTGGCCATGATCGAGGCAGTGAAGGACTCATGTCTTACTAGCTTGTGGGAGTTTTACATACAGAAAAATGTTATGAGGGCAGAAGAAAAAATAGAAATAACCAATCAGATTATAGAGGAGGTGGGTCCAACTACAGGAGGCAGGACCATGACATCGGATTGGTTGGTCCTGCCTCCTCTAGTTGCTTGGACCCACCTCCTCTACAATCTGATTGGTTATTTCCCAGAAAAAAAAAAAAATTTCCTTCTGCCCTCGGAACATTTTTGTGTAAGTAATATTCCCATGAGCGAGTTAAAATGGCAAGTTCTGGCTAATTCCAGAGTTGGCTTTCAGTTTGGCTTGCAGCTCATGTCATCATATGCAGCAGAAGGAAAGACTACTGCTGTATCCTGCAGAGGAGTCTCCACTAAAACCCCAGCAGCGAATGGAATGGAGGAACTGACGACTCCAGCCCCAACAGAGTCCATGGGCGAGGTTCCTCCACAGTCTTCGTACAGCATGAGGCCAGCCAACCACGTCATGTAAAACCAGAAAGTTACAAGAGAAAGACCCCAGGGATGTTGTTGCCAAGAAAATATGCATAGAAAGGCCTACAAGTTTCTGTTGTGAAACCACTTGACTTTTAAGAGTTTTGCTTAGACACAGTTAAAAACTTCAATGATTAACCAGTCATTTGTGTGCTGTTTTAAAAATAGCATGTTCTGTTTTGTTTCTTGGCCTGTTGTGGTGGAGGGCATGTCTTTAATTCCCTGTAAATAATGAAGGGGAGGTTTTAAGAATGTGGGCGGATAGAAGACTGCACAGTTGGAGGATGAAAAGGCCTGTAACGAGAAGATGCCCAGGAGGATTGTGGGAGTTTACAAGTGGGAATCATTTCATTTAACCTCAGCATAAAATCCAGGGATAAAAGATCTGACTGACTTCTTAGAAGGCGTCTTCTGTGAATAAGTACAATCATTTCTTTTCCTTTGTTGTGTTACGTGCACCTGAAGTATATACTTGGCAGTATGAACATTTCTAAAAATCGGATCCTGTGATATTCAGTTTGAAGTCTGGACATTAAACTGAGGCTGACTGAGTAGTGTATTCCCCTGACCAATGTGCGCATTTCCTTGCTTTACTACGTGTTTTCTCCCACATTGCAAATACATGAAGTTCCGGTGTACTTGTAACTCTGAATTTCCCATAAAGTGTGAATTTTTCATCAGTACCCCAAAGTAGCCCTGACTATCATCCCCTGTTATTAATATAGGAAAATTCCAATGTCTGTTTTAGGTTACAACATAGGGTCTTCGCATCAATTGCTCTGATAAAATATTTCCATAAATACGCTTGATAAATTTTGAGGCAATTGGTGTGTTTTAATACCCTTTTATGAACAGTTTTTATAACACAAACTCTTTATTTTTTAAATATATTCCATATTTGTTGTGTTTTTATGTGATTATTGTGTAAGTTGCAGATATACTTCGACAGTCCCCGTTTTCCAACAGAGCTTGTGTGATTAGTAATCATTTATGACAGGTACAACCGTAATATGTTTCCCTGCTAATATAAGAGCAGTGCAATCAAGGCACAGAGAAGCTGTGCAGCCTGATGACAATGCATCTTACTCCCATTTTAAAACATTTTAAGGACCCTGATTTAGTGACTGATTTAAGAAGTCTAAAGAATTGGATCGACAGAGGAGTGATGATGTAGAGACTGCAGGTTGGGTTTTTTGGTTTAGGAATACAGTGTAAAAGGGGATTTATGTGGTGGTAAAACAAACTGCTGTAGATTTATTACTTTTTCTACATGTGTTATTTTGACCATGAATGTCCAACATTGATGGCTGCCCTTTTCTGTGATATAATAATTGTCTGTGTTTGTCCAGCATTAATATGTTTAGTTTTATTAGTATTTTATATAGAATTTTTGAAAACTCTGAATTGCAGAAAGCAGCCAAAGCATAGCAATAATCCTAAATATATATTATAGAGCAAGAAAAAAACAAGCCAATCACCAGACCCCATAATGTACTCATTATTTGTGGTGCACTTGTAGTCATCCTATTGTCTGATATTTATATTGTGTATTTCTGCAGGTTTTGGTAATCTGTGCCCCAGAAGTGATCACCATTGATTCTGAAACTCGCCTTATGGAAGAGATGTAGGGTACTACAGTACTGCAGTTTATTCACCAGGGGGCAGGATTCACAATTGACATACTCTTCAGCATTGCTTTGTACTTTCTTTGATGTCTGCCAAACACATTTAAAAAAAAATAAAAAATAAATAATGCTTTCTTGGTAATTGTTTTTTTTTTTTGATGAAATACAGCTGCGGAAAAAATGAAGAGACCACTCTATCATTTTAAATATATCTGCATTTTTAAATCCTGGTTTAATCGTGGTTCTGCTGGCAGAAGGCTACGCTGAGCAGCAGGTTGCTTCCAGGCTCAACAGACAGCAGTACAGAAGAATAAGGTGAAGCAGGAGACACTGGGAACGACCAGAAACCAGCCAGGTAAAGGGCGGAAGCGACATTCTAATGCCAGAGATGACTGTTAACTTATCAGACAGTTTCTCATGAATCGTAGGATGAAATCAAGTGACCTTCAAAAGGAATGGGAAACATTAAGTGCAGGTGTGAGGTGCACTGCTAGGACAGTTTGTTTCAGGCTCCTACAAGCAGGATTGAAGTCCCATAAAGCAAGGAAGAAGCCCTTCATTAATGAGAAACAGGGAAGAACCAGGCTGCAGTTTGCAGAAAAATATATATTATTCACAGACGCAAATGAGTGAAACAAAATGGTCTCATTTTTTTCTGAGGCTGTGCATGTTATTTTAGTGATGCAGATATTCTGTATTGTAATTGGAACTGTTGAAAGGAAAATTAAATCTCCATCCATTCATCCATCAATTTATCTCTACAGCAGAGCCAGAGATCATAGCGTGGGTGGGTCAGTAGAAAATCAGGTGGGCCTGTCCCAGAACAATTCACTTGGTGACAAAATCACACTACAGACTCACCTACCGTATATATTTTTATCAGTTTGGAAATTACCTGTGGCATTACTAAGACCAAATTAACAAAGAGAAATAAAAAGCTATTTGCCTCTCAGCAACACATTTCCTGCGATTGGTCTAACCACACACACACATACCTGTCAGACACAATCATTTTATCATACTGTATCGCTTGCTTTGAACACTCAGTGGGCGGGGCTAGGTTCCATCTGGGTGAGCCCAGGACCAGCATTGTCGCTGTGGTAGATCCATTCATCCATCCTTCTGTCCATCCACCTTGTATTGCCTTACTCAGTGGTGGGCCAGTAGATTAAACAGTTTACAAAAATTATAACTTCTCAGATGAAACCTGGTGTCTGTTAGCGAGGAAGAGTAAAAATAAAAAAATCCCATTTGAAGAGTCCAAAAATGTAAAACAAGTCTTTATATCCAGAGCGACCTTGCTCTTAATATGTTTTCATAGTCTAGCTATCCCACCAGGCAGAATGTTGTTAACGCTAATCGATACTTCATTTTAAGTGCCATGGTGCCATTTCACACTCTGGCGATTACAGTACAAGCATCTTTCTTCTGTAACACAAGATAAAGCCAGACTAATGGAAAGACTGGGGCACTTCAGTAATTAGGTCATTTCCCATTTGGTCTTTTAACTGCTGTGTGTTCTGTCTTTAAGCAGCAAAGCTCACAGCTGCTCTCCTAGTTGCCTGGGAGCAATTTGAATTATCCTCTTTTACTTTTATTATAAAAGTCGGTCAGTGGGACATAAAAGATGAATGTAGCCTGCCGCCCAACAGTGTCCTGAACACTGCTCGTTTTCACTCACTGGAAGGTCACTAAAACCCAGTATGAGCCGATACAATCTAGTAAAACGCAAACATCTGGCCGTCATGGGATGGACAAAGTATACAGGCTGAACGGACTAGACCAGAAGGGGAGTAAATTGACATTTTTTAAAAACTACATTTTATCTCCAGTTCAGTAAGGGTCGTTTTACTGTTGTCAGCATTTGTCACTTTTGTTTAATGAAAAAAGTCACATAACTCACCAATTCTGAAAGTCTTCAGTTCAACCATAGATTTTTGCTGGTTTTGACACAGACTGGCTTCTTTACGTTTCGTTAAAATCTAGTAGTGTTTTCTATATGCTATAAATGTGCTTAATGTTTCAAAACACTGGCGGTATGATTAGGCATCAATTCATTGAACCAGTTCTGTATTGATGTGAACAAAAATGCAGTGTATGCTGGTTTAAAATGCAGTTCTATTTCTGAACATTTGCACTGGCACAAAAGTTTATCGAACGTGTTATATAAAGAAAAATTTGATTTTGGAAATAAAATTATTTGAAATGATCTCATGATGACCTGTACATTTTAATTATATTTCCTCACTGAAATGCCTCATTAATTATGCATTCAATCTCAGTGCAGTATTGTGACTAAGGATATCAAATTTGCTGGAATATGACTGGTTACATTTTTTATGATGCAAAATAAAAAAACAAGGAGCACAAATAAATTCAAATGGTTTTTTACTACAGAAAAGGCTGAAGAACAAAACATAAAGACACAGAGTCCCTGCTATGATTGTCAAGCCAGTACAACAGTATTTAGTGTTTACCAGTTAACTAGCAATAACCCTACTAACATAAGTGTGCAGCCCTTCGTTACACAGATTGGGATGGGAAATAAAAGTTACATACAAATAGCCTTAAATTCCATAAACCGTATTAAAAACATCTGTAAAAAGGCATTTTGAAAATGTTTTATAGGTATATCATGATTGTATTCACTTTCTGGTTCATTATAGAAGTTGGGCAACCACTAACAATGATCGAATCTGTATATTACATGGCATTATAGGCCACAGAAAGTATATTCGAAATATATTAAATATTTGTCTAGCCTATAAATGTTTCCACAAAGTACGGCTTTTCAGAGATGATACAAGCAGGAAAATTGTGATATATTATTTTCCCTTTCCCCATAAATACATATTTAGTCAGTCATTTAAAAAAAAATCCCTTCAATATCTGTAAGATCGACAGGTCAATTATTTCAGCATCTATTTTTTAAAGGAAAGCTTAAAATATTTACAAACATGGTACAAAACTGGAAACTGAGTCTTTGGTAAAGAAGCAATCAGACAGGTTACAAGGAAGTAAAATGTAGTGTTCTAGGCTGTAAACATAAAATTCTTTATGTACAGTATCTGATTTTAACAAGTATATACACTGGAGCAGATTGGCACTCCTTTACAATCCACCGTAAATGTCATAATCTTTCACAATATTATGCAATATCATGATTTGTTGTTTTTTTTGCTGCCTGAAAATAGAGACCTCTTTTTGGCATAAAATAGACACGTCGTCTTGGAAACAAGCCAGCACCACCTGGACCGCTCTGGAGCCACCTGATTGGGCAGTGCTGCCGAAATGGCCACTCGCTTTGGGTCCCCCATGTCCCCCCATGGGTGTCCTCGCACTCAGTCAGCTACCCGTAATTACTTTTACAGTGCGGTTATTAACGTAGCGTTTAAAGATTTTCATGTCTATTCTCTAGAGGGCAAAGCTGGCACAAAGGTAACATTTTCAAACAGTGGCCTCTTAGGTACAAGGGTCACGTATCGTTTTTTTTGTTCCAATAATTTCAAGGCTGGTTAATTGCAGGTTCGACACATTATTACACAGTTACAGCTACCATGTGTATTCAGACAGCTGTTAATGATTACAGATATACTACTGCAGTGTGCTGTTGCTAAATGCTTTACTTGTGAACACAGCTCTTTCAGATTTTATCCTGCAAACCAAAATATATAAATACACTTTGGAAAATAAAATTAGAGAGTATTGTATAAAATTTTAAAGTTGACCTCTAATTCGTATGGAACTTTTAAATGTCATAAACACTTTTGTGACAGCATTATCTTTATCCAGTAACAGATGGAAACACATTGACTATTTGGCAATAAGAGGCCTAAAGTTCAACAGATGCAATCTGACAACTTTCGTAAAATGCAAATAGTGCCCTCTAGTGGCCATGTAGTACATGTCTCTATGGTCTCCCTTCAGGATGTGTGAATTGCAGCCCTTAAAAAACTACCACTACCCAAGACTTATTTCCTTCTAGTAACTCTACTCTTCTCCAAATAATAAAAAGGATAGACAATAGCTGGATGTCATGGTTCCATCAAAGACGTCAGTAGCTGGAGCAGGTTGTCGAGTCCCAACAGGTAGCCATCCTCACGGTTGCCCTCCTGCCATGGGATGCGGTGGTTTAGTTTTTCTCCCTCTGGCAGCGCAGTGGTCTTGCCGAAGTCAATGAGCCACACTTCAGCCCGCTCAGTGCGATCGTGGATGAAGAGCAGAGAGCTTCCGATGACCTTGGCAGAGTGGAGGAAGGACGACTGTCAGACATGTGCTACCGTCTGACACTAACGCAGATTCCTTGCCATCGCCAAGTCAAGGCTGCAGCTCGCCAGGCCAACAGCAGTCCATAAAACATACTGTGCGACCAGTGAGAAGTTGTACAAGCCCATAATGTAATAACTACCAATATGGTCATAATTTTCCCATTCTTAATGTAATAAAAGTCGATAATGAAATAATTGGCAAATAATGTCATATACACTGCCAAACCAAAAAAAAAGTCTCCATTTGAATTTTTAGTTGGACCGCCTTTAGCTTTGAGTATGGCGCACATTTGTCATGGCATTGTTTCCATAGGCTTATGCAACATCTCACCCTTTATTTTCATCCAGATTTGCATTAATTTGCATTAAGTACAGAGTTTCTGTACTGACAAGTGAGTTGAACCACTCCATAAAGCCTCCTTCAGCACATCCCGAAGACCTTCAATGAGGTTAAGGTCACAACTCTGTGGTGACCAAGTCATGAGTGAAAATGATTCCTCATGCTCCCTGAACCACTCTTTGATTCAAACCCAATGAATCTCGGCATTCCTATCCTGAAATATACCCATGCCAACAGGGAAGAAAAAATCCATTTATGATGGATGGAGGTGTAACCGTGCAGTAGATTCAGGAACTCAGCTGACTTTACTTTATTGCTGCATAACGTTTCTGAACTTTAATAATGATCCAGTCATTGGCTCTTAAGTATTTGCTGATATAAATTCAAATGGCGACTTTATTTTTGGCCGGGCAGTGTATTTTCTGAACCAATAACGTCATAACTTTTTGCCAATAATGTAATAAGCTATTACATTATTGGTCAATTATTACATTATTGACTTTTATTACATTAATTACTGAGAAATGTATCTCACTATTGGCATATTATTACATTACTGGAAGATATTACATTATTGACTTCTACACCAGTCAATGTGATATCAATGTGTATTATAATTAGATGCACCTGTGGTCCATTTCAATACAAGGTTATTTGTTTTATTTTTGATAGATTGGTTGTTTTAAATATAGTACAGTAACGGTGCAGAGGTCGCAGGTTCAAATGCCAGGAGGCACACATAAAGTCGAAACCCTTCCCTTCACCATAAGTCATTTTGCAAACATCAGCCCTTTGCCCAGAAGTGTAAGGCTACAATGCTACCAAGACTGATTCATATAATTCATTTTTGCAGTTATTCTGAGAAGTGACATACTCTGTTTACTACCATCCTGAAGATTGCCTCAGAAAAGGGCGACAGGATTTCACCCGAATTAGAAAAGAGAACTGCTGGGGACAATGACAGCTGTACTGCCTGTAAAACGAAAGACTTCCAATATTTCATCCTACCTCATGCTGCGTGAAGAATTTAGAATCCTCTAGAACACTTTGTATCTGCTCCAGTTTTCTGAGATAGGACCTCTGATTGGGTGACAAAAAAGGCACAAATTCTTAGGTGACGATAAAAGGTACAAATCCTGACTCAACGTGACTCTTGTGAAAATGGAACTTACGATAATGTTTTTGTTCCCAGCCACGAAATCATTGAAGACCTGCATCACCTCTTCCTTCAACCGGGTCTTCTTGAAGTCTGTACTACAGGTACCATCTGGTTTCTAGAAGCGGCATTGAGTCAGTCTTGGTCAGCTGAGTTTTGAGAGGTATTATCAACCGAGGCACCGAAGTGATTCTCACTACTGAAATCTCTAAAGTTCATCTGAATTTTTCTTCATGCCTACGCTGTGAGCTACGTAGCTTAGAGACAGTTGTGCAACTGTACCCTCTGTTCACTCTGCAACATCAGCACAGTCCATCAGGCCTCACCTTGACGCCTTCGATGCGGAAACCCAGCGTGTGGGTGGAGCTCAAGGTCTCCCGCCACTGCATGTAGCGTGGTTTGGTGACCGCCTTCTGCTGGTGCTCCTCCGCCGTGGGGGCGTCGCTGTCTACCTCCAGCATCTTGTCGTACATGTCTTTGCGCAGCTTGGGCCTCTCCCGGGCTCGCACCAGCTCCTCCTCCAGGTACGTCCTGCAGGACCACGTCAGCCAAAGCCGGTAAAGATCAGGGCAAACTCATGCACTCAGGGATGCCCAAGATACCTGCCCCACACTAGCATGTAGCCATGCACTGCTTAGGGTGTTTTCAGTTGTTCGGGATTGAGTGAGATGAGGGTGGGTGGAGAAGTTTGCTTCCCCCCCCCCCCACACCAAAATAGACCTAAATGACCTTTAACTTTGAATGTGTTTCGCCACAGAACATTTGGCTCCCTGTCCCACCCACTTGATCTGAGGGTGCCAACATGTCGCAGCCGGTTGCAAGAATGCGAAGCGCCGCTTGAGTTGAGCTCTAAGAACCGAGCCAAAGTGAACGCGCGGGGTGTGCTGGCTTGCTGTATTTGCTCGGCCCGTGCACCATCGCTCCCTCCGTACTTGTGGCTCAGCAGGCCAAGCCTCTGTGCCGGTGACTGGAAGGCTGCAGGTAGGAGTCCGGCCTCGGCAGAATAGTCACATGTCTATAGGCTCTTCAGCTAGGCCTTTAACCCCCAGTGCACTGGGTGCTGCTGCAGATGGCTGCCCTTTGCTGCCGAACATGCTCTCACCTACATGTGCATCATGGAGAGCAAGCTAGGATAGGCAAAACGAGAATGACCCCATGTGGGACCAATAAAGTATCATTAAATTAAACTCCTCACTTCAGCCACGCACACAGACTCTCTGTTACAGCCTTCCTGTTACAAAAGACACGCAACGCTCTACTGTTTGTTTTTCTTCAGTTTCACTGTCTCCACTGAACCCTACCAGCTTCCTGTATGTCAAAGAAGGAAACGTAACAGGGGACCCAGTTTGCGTTAGTGTGTGCATGAATAGAAGCTGCTCTGTGCGTCCGTGTGCAGTTCTCTCCATATATCCTACTGCCCGCCTATGTAAACACATGGGTGTGTGTGTGTTTGTGTGTGTGCGTGTGTGCGTGTGTGCCCAGTGTGACTGTGTGTGAAAGACCAGGAGCGTGAGGGAAGCCTTCTTTAAGCTGACATTTCTTTTCCTGTGTGTGCATAAGCGTACGTGTGTGGTGACACGTGTGGGTTTGTTTGTGTGTGTGGCGTGAAAACAAGTCTAAAGGGACACCCCGTAACTGCAACCGTGTTTCTGTGTGTGTGTGTGTGTGTGTGTGTGAGAGAGAGTGTGTGTGTGTGTATGTGTCTGTGTGTGTGTGTCTGTGTGTGTGTGAATGCTTGCCTGAACCCATTCTCCCTCCACACAGGAAACATGGCTGTGCAGTCGGCAAAACAAGACCCGTTTACCATGCCGCCCTACCCTCGGGGGGCAGGAAGTAATCACAAGGCCTCTGAGAGGACAGGTGTTCGATTACGAGAGAAAAAAACAACTGCCAGTTCCCTTGGCCTCACTGATAATCAGAATCATTCACTGGGGGCAAATGACAGCGAGCTTGCCCACCTCCAAGCTCCCCGTCTGCCTCGTTAAATCGAGCAGGCACCCCCACAACGTATTCATTGCATCTTCTCAGATATCCGGGGTGACAGACTGATGGGAGTTTAGCGGTGTTACCCCTGCTGAAACCTTCCTCTGCACTCATGGTTTGAGTCATGCATTCTGGCCCCTTTAAAAGTTCCTCTTTAAGAGGTTGTACTCAAACCCTCCCCAGCTAAATGGCCCCCTCCATTTATGTAGGTGTTCCCCAAGGCCCTTATCTTAGATCAATATGAACTCTGCAGGAAAACAGTGCGGTTAGTGCTGGTGGGGGCCTGCCAGTTGTTTGTAAAGGTAATCCATCTACACAGAGTGCTGCATTTTTAATGCACGAGTTTTCCAGTGTGAACACCCCCACCGCATATTATACCTCACGCCCATTTTGCAATCCATGACACTGGGTCCGTCGAAATCATACAACAGGTCTGTCAGCTGCAGGTAGGCTTCGCCGTCACGCTCTGTCACGCCATGGTATTTGGGCACAAAGTCTTGTAGGCGTTCCCCTCTCAGCCGCTCGAAGCACAGCTTCTCGTTCTCCGAGAACTTCTTCAGAATGGTGCCCTCCTCACCAGCCTTGAAGCTGCCTGTGGGGTCCGGGGCACATTATTGCAGGGGGGCACAGCTGCAGGCAAAGGCCTGAGGCATTTCTACTTATTGTCCAGCCAGGAGACACAATAACTCCTTAACATGAGTCAGTGGGAACCCTTTTACTTATGCACATCATTTTGTGACTTCAGGTGATCATAGAAGAGCGAGGAAGGAGGCCTCACCTTTGTGTCCAGCGAGCTGAATCCAGGACAGTCGCTTACGGTGCGAGACGAACGGCCAGTGGACGAGGCTCTTAATCTTCGACCAGGATCTGTTTTGCTGAAGGAAACAGGACAAGCAAGCTGAGTCAAGGGAAGCCTCAAAGAAGCATGAAAAAATTGCCCAAGGGGGTTGCAGGCCTGTTTTTTTTCTAGATGCTAGATTGACTGGCCCATCTCCAAGGGCGTGTTTTGTAGGTACACAGATTTCTGAGCCAAAGTTGAATTGCCCCAACATACCACTGCATGCCGTGCATAAGTAACCAGTCCTCCATGGAAACTCTGACTAAAGACACTTATAGAAACCCTCACTGCTGTTCCACTTGCATTGCATGAAAAACACAAACAATAAAATGCCTCGCATCCATTTCATAGCTGGACTCGGATGGCTAACGTGACAGTGTGTTGGCCAATATTGAGGCAATGCAGTAGATCACAGCTTAAACATGCAGGTTCACACTACGAGCAGATGAATCACACAACACACCGCAGGCAGCAAGTGCAGGGTTTGGAATCGCTATTCAGACAAACAAGCATCGTAGAAGAGTTTCCTGTGAGCTCTGGTGTGTCTGAAGCCTGCCACGACAATGACCTTATGAAGAGGCTTGTGTGTGTGTTTTTTTTTTCAGAAACTGGGCGACCTATAGTATATCAGCTAGACAGCTATTACAAATCGGGGGAAGTCAGGGCAACACTGCAGTTAGTCAATGCCTGCTTGCCTGCTGCTTGAGGAGATTAACGGCAACTCACTTCCAGGGAATCAGTGAGACTGTGAAATGGGAAGATTTGCCAGTCATTTGGAAAACATAAGCAGCACATCTCATTTGCAGCAGTTCCATAGCTTCCAGTTACTTTGAACATTGCTCAAAACAGAGCGAGCAGTTCCCTGAAGTTGTAAGCATGCTTGAGTGGTTAGTAATCTGTTCGTAGCAACTGATGCTCTCAGTTTTTCTGTGTTCCAAAACTGAGCCAGACAGTAACACTGGCTCTCTGCTGCCCACGTTTTTTTACACATCCCATCAGTCTGCACCCGCAACAGCACCACGGTGAGTAAATCGCCAGAATCTCGCCTATACCAGCACTTTCTCATAACTGTGCATAGAGAGATCCTCGGGCAGGCTAACTCTTAAGGCTCATCGCCATTAGGAACTCGGTAACCTGTTCTCCCTTACGATCAGAATGTTTTCTATACCCACGACTGTGCCTGTCATGTCCTCCTCCTTCATCAGTGAGTTTACCGCAGTTTGTGCTTTCAAAACGTTAAATGTACCACAGGTTACGCCTTCAAGATGTGCAATCAGTTATCGCCGCCTGGACAATGGGAGGCCACGCTGCCACCAAGGTCACTAATTGGCATGTATCGCGTCACTTCCCTCGGCATCCCCTCGGAAACGTGATTCACCTGCATGAATGTGAGCATGGCCAAAAACAGCGTAAAAATCATCAAAAGTATCTTCAGTATGATCAGACAGTCCAAATTGGCAACATCCATTACTAGCACTTGACCGATATTTTTTTATTTCATAGAACACTTCCCAACTGCTTTTCAGAAAAGAATGTTTCCATCGATGCTAATATGAATTAATGGGTTACTAAAAACAGATGGATTCATTATAATTACAACTGAATAATTGCATACTGCTGCAATTTTATTCACAGGTAGGATCTTCGGTTCAATGCAGGAAGCTGTCAATCAAAAGTACATTCACTGGTCAGTTTATTAGGTATACCAAGCAACTACTGGGTAGGAGCAACATTTGCCTCCATAACTGCTTCGAGGATAAGCGAGTTGTGTGTTCAGAGAAGTCTTTCTGCACATGCACTGTTGCTAATTTACGCTTAACATAGCATTTGAATATCTCCGGAAGGCGGCCGTTTCTGAGATGCTGGAAATCCGTCCCCAATGATGACATCAAGTTCAGAGTCGCTCGGGTCATACATCTCGGCCGTTCAGATGCTCAGCCACATGGCAAATGAACCTCTTGAGCCTTTCCGATTCCTACAGCCACGTCATCGGTTGTTTAGATAACCAGTCTGTTTGCACTAACAAGCATCTGCACCTAATGAAGTGGCTGAGGAGGGTATAGTTCAATTGGGTTTGCTTTTCATGATTTACCTCCATGTGTGGAGCATGAGCAGACTTCAGTGCTCTTATATCCTCATAAAGTAGCCATCCAGGCATCTTCTAACCTACCCCAGGCTGCACACGGCACTTGGCTGGGCTACACCCTAGAGGGGATGCCGGTCCATTGCATAGCAAATACACACATGCACATTATACACTTCAGGCATTTTACAGACACCACTGAACCTAAATGAAAGTCTTTGGACTGCAGGAGGACACCCACGCCACACAGGGAGTGCATGAAAAGTCCACCCCCATTACTTAAACATTCAGATGCTGTTATTTTCTGTTCTTCTAAGTAAATGTAGAGATACATAGGAGTTCTTTGCTCATCACATATACAGTCTTGCCTTCTGAGATACATGGTGAGGATGAAGGTTCCGGTCCAAGCACGGGGTCAGCAAATTATCGGGCTCAGTCAGGGTTCAGGGCTTCGCCCGGGGGCCAGACGGTGATATGATGACTCTGCAGCCACAGGATTCGAGCTGGTGAACTGCGGGTAGGGGGTACACCCGCCGAGCCAGCAGAACCATCCACCGCAACGTGAAATACTTGCACTACACCACTGCTGTCAGGGTGAAATATTACGAAGTAGAAAAGGTGGGGTGTGCAATATACACACGCACACAAAACTTTACACACAGAACAACATGTAGCTCAGCAGAAGAAGAGCCCCCCCGTGCAAAGCCCTTTCGGCAAAGCGAAAGCTGGTAGGAGGAGGACTGGATCTTCTCTAGCCATGTTCTCTCATTGTCACTAGGCAACCAAAAGAAATGCAAGCATGAGCTCAAAAATGGTTTCACTGTAGGGATACACTGCAAATGTCACAGGCAAAGGCTACTGGTGCAGCAGCCGATCGAGATATACACAATCCTTGCATAAATGCGGGACGCGCTGGCCCACACTGCTCAGATCGCGTAATTAGACAACTTTTTATGGCCCGTGATCATTTTTTGACTTTTTCGCCTGGCTCAGCTTTTGCCACATAAAGCTAAATGTCAGCGCAGCAGGCTTGATGTGCATTGTAAGAGCTGGGCCCTCTGTGCAGCTTGTGTGTGGAGCCTTCGCCCACGCAAAGGGACAGATAAGGAACTACCCCAAGACTCATCTGCCCACGTGTCAGCGCACATTATCACTGCCGCCCAAAGAGGCTCGCGAGGACAAACACGGGCGATGCTGCTCGCCCGCTCTCCCTCCGCCAGTCTGAGAGGGGCATGAATGGCTACCTGTCCAACACACAAGATTAATTACATAATGCCCACTGCCTGACACTTCGCACGACCGGTGACAGTTTCAGGCTGTTTCATAAACAACTGCGGCTCATTTTCAGTTCCCCATGTTTCAACAAAGGTCTCTCTCTTCCCTAGAGACCCACCACACCAAATGAATTTATAATCTCACTCTGTTTCAGCTCAGCCCCACGCTGGCCCTGGCCGGCACAGCTAATTGGCTTGGTGAGAAATTCAATCATCATTTTTAGATGTGTGGTTTTAAAATGTGGCTATAGCAGCACATCCCTCTGCAAGCTGTGAAATCATTTTTTTTTTTAATGAACATGTTATACAAGAAGCAGCTCCAACCACATCCAAATTACACCTGTTTTCTCCTGGCAGAGATACAGGAAAAACTTTTAAATTAGTCCAACCAATTTATATCCTATCAGAACATGGCCACAACCCCCCCCCCCAACCTTAGCTGCTCTAACTGACTTGAATACATTCTGTAGAGCAGTCTTCACCATCACACAGTGGCAGAAAGCTGTGCAGAAGATCTGGGGGTCTTTTCCAGGAAACAGTGACTTGTATAAACACACAGTAAACTGTAAGATTACAGTACATATTTAATCCTTTAAAAAGTGATAATTATACTCCAGATGAGCATAAGCAGCACAATACTAACTGCATGGCTTGATAAATCGCTCTTAAATCACTATACATTTAGGTCTTAAAGTGAGAACATTATCCCAGGGTACATCATTAACGCCCAAATAATTAATTTCGATTTATTAAAAGCTTGATTTATCAGCTAAGGATGAAGTGTTTAACTGCGCCGGGGCATGTACGCTCAGCGTTCTGGTGGGTGTTCCCCGCGTCGTCATCCAAGTGACTTTTCACACTTCACTAGCAGAGCAAACTTGTCATAGATCACAAGGAAGCATCAGCCTTGCGTTTCCAATACACTCTGCGGTCGAACGGAGAGGCAAGGCAGCCAAGAAACCCCAAATAAATAAGAATATTACAGGCTACCCCCTGAGCTAATGGAAAAAAGCACAAATGTTATTACTGGGATGATGTCTCCCTCGTCATGCTTATATAACCATACCGGCAGCTTACGGCCTTTGCTGGATGAACTCCTGTCACGCGGCTTACAGAGCAGGACTAGCGCACAGCCTGAAGACTGATTGCTGCTTTCCACAAACTGATAACTGTCCCTGGTTTTTGTTATTCTTTTACAGGGCCTCATTTATGCAATTAAGATTATACTCTGACTGCCTTAAACATCTAAATGTCTTCAGAGAATTAATGCTCACAACCTCTGCCTTGCAAAATTGTACAATCTAGGGCTGTCCAGAGCTCTACCAGTGCAACGCTGCTCACTATGCTTATCAGAAAAATCCAGCATAATTTACAACTGTGGTTTCTGGAATCCGCAGTAAACAAACACCCAGTGTCTTTATATCTCAAAAATATCTGGCATACCAGTTACGCTTTTCACAAACGAAAGGGCAATTTTCCCTGTCTGATGCTCTGCCTAGAATATTTGCTAATTGCTGGGAAGAGAAAGGAGAATTGAAAGCCTTTTGCATCATTCGGATGAAACATCTGAGTGGCCAAAAAAACATTTCGCTACATTAGCATCTCCTGCTCAAGTGATTCAGATGCTGATCAATCAAAGCGTGTATCACATTTCTGACCGTGCCATTAATATTTAATGCT